ATCAGAGATTCGATCTGAAAAAATTCTCATTTTTGGGCTCGGACCCCCCTTGTCCCCGAGAGCGCCTGCTGTACTGGAGGGAATAAACGGAAAACCACCTTGGGACTGTTCCTGGGTAATTTTACATCAGAGCCTCCCCGGAATTCAGCTGGGGGACCCAGGAAAGAGAGAGGACTCCCCAATAAGAGATTCGATGTGGAAAATGACTCATTTGGAGGCCCGGCCACACACATGCTCCACTTATCCCCAAGCGCGCCTGCTGCGCTGGGGGGCCCAGGTGGAAAATCACCCTGGAACGGTTCCAGAAAATGTTCCATTTGAGACCTCCCGAAATTCTGGCGGAGGGACCAACCGAGAGAGAGGGCTCCCCAATAAGAAATTCGATGTGGAAAATACTTGTTTGGGGACTCGGGTGCACCCCCTCCCACGAATCCCCGAGGGGGCCTCCCGTGCAAGGGGGGGCCCCCTATGGAAAGTCTCCCTGGAATGGTTCTGAGGCGGCTTTCCATCTGGAGCCTCCCAAGAGATTCGGCTGGGAGACCCAGCAAAGAGAGAGGTGTGGAAAATAATTCATTTGCAAGCTCGGGCACACACCTCCTCCGCTTGGCTCCGATGCCGCCTGCTGTAATACAGATGGCAAAGCCCTAGCACGGTTCCCAAATGGGCCCCCTCAAGACTCTGGCGGGCGACCCAGCCGAGAGAGAAGACTCCCCCCATGAGAGACTCGATGTCGAACATTACATCCGAGAGGGCCTCCTGTGCTGGGGTGGTCCTAGATGGGAAAACACCCTGGAACGGTTCCGGGGTGATTTTCCATTTGGCTCCTCAATGACAAATTCGATGTGGAAAATGGCACTGGGTGAAAGCCCATGTTCAAACGGAATCGTCCTTCATCCTTGTAACTGATGCAAGCTTCTGAGAACAGTGTGAGCGGCACTAGGGGGGGAGCCCAGTTTGAAAAGGAGTCGCCTTTCACAAATATGAATGATGCAAACTTCTGAGACAAATGTGCGGGGTACTACGGCAAAAGCCCAATGTTGAAAACCACCCTCCTCCATCCTTGTAACTGTTCCAAGCGTTTAACACGAACGCGCGTGGCCCTGAGGCGAGAGCCCAATATTGAAAACCATCCCCCCTCCATCCGTGTAGGTGGTGCGACCTGTGAGACGCACGCACGCAGCGCTAAGGCGAGAGCACCAGTTTGAAAAGGAACCGCCCTCTATCCGTATGACTCCTGCAACCTTTTTCAAGGAATGCGCCTGGCGCTAAGGCGAGCGCCCCATGTTGAAACCACCCGCTCTTCCACCCTTGACTGATGCAAATTTTTACAACGAACGTGCGCGGTGCTAAGGCGACAGCTCCGTTTCGAATAGGACACCCATGTAACTGTTGCAAATGATGTCAAGCTTCAGGATCAGACATGGCAGGCATGGGGGCACAACAGGGAAGAATTTTCGACTTCCAGAACAAAGCTTGCACGTAGGGCTTTTTACTTCTGGAGTAAGCGAGTGGGCGCGGGGGTCGGCCTTGCAGCCATGTAATCGCCGCCCCGTCGCCGCCTCGTCGCCGCCCGTCGTCTGGACCCGGCCGTCGGTCTGGCGGCTGTGTGGTCGCCGTCGCGGCCCCGTCGCGGCCTCATCACCACCCGTCCGTCGTCTGGGCCCGCATTGCTTCGCTTTGCTGTGCGTTGCTATGCCTGACGTTGCAATACTTTGCATCGCATGTCATTGCATTGCGCTGCATCGCTTGACGTTGCGTTGCGTTGCTATACGGTGCGTTGCCTGGCTCTGCATTACCTCGTACTGTTTTGCATTTCGTTGCATGGCCTTGCATCGCTTCGTGTTGAGCTTCATTGCCGGCACTGTATTGATATGTATTGCGTTGCATTGCTACGCTGTGTGTTGCATTGTTTTGTGGTGCGTTGCCTTGTGCTGCGTTATGTTGTGTTGCTCTGCGGTGTTTTGCACTGTAACGAATTGATGGGCATTGTTTGCGCCAGTTTGCGTTGCACTGATTTGCACTGGTGCGCATTGGTTTGCACTGTGTTGCCTGATGTTGCCTTGCGTTGCAACGCGTTGCATTGCATCGCGTGGCATTGTTGCGCATTCCTGTGCATTGTTTTACTGCGCTCAGCATTACTTGGCATCGCCTTGCAGTTCCTTGAATTGTGTTGTATTGCGTTGCATCGTTTGCGTTGAGTGATTTGCGGACCACGTAAATTCTCCTTTCTTTCAAAAAAATATACCACCCCCCCACCCCCCAGACTGATCGATTCACCGGGAAACGATGCAAACAAATATGATTCTGACCCAATGTCCATCCGACCTTGAAATCATACTATCCCAGCCAAACCGGTATCGGGCCCCCCTCGGTTCCCTTGCATAAAAAATGCGCGCACACTCGTTTATCGAAAATCATAAGTTTTCAAGAATCCCTTGAACAAAAATGAAACGAGGTGCACACGCGCGCGTCGCCGCGCGCGCATGCCGAAATCCTTCAA